TGTGCAGAGGGGTTCCACCATGCCAGATGGCAGGAGCCCTGAGGTGTGGGTTTGGTGTGCTGCCCTCCCTGTGCCTGGTAGCCATGTGCCCCATCAGCCGCAGCCCTTCCCATTACCCTTTCAGGAGCCGTTGCACCCTGTAAGAACCCACAAATGCCACTGTGGTGGGGAGGAGGACACAGCCAGAACCTGTGAAAGGGGCTAGGGCTCTGGCTGGGGTTGTCCCCATACTCACAGTCCAGTTGCACCTGCTGGGTTGTTTCGTGCACATATCGGATCATATTGCGTAGAAAGAGTTTGAGGTGCGACATGATCTTCTCCGCATCACCCTCAGCTGTGGCCTGGCGGGCCCAGGGCCGGTGGAAGTGGATGCTCCAGTTGGTGGGATCCAATGCAAAGATGGGCACATCGCCCAGGAGAGCCACCCCGGACACCTCAGCAGAGCTGACATTGGCGAAGAAGCTGGTCTGGAGCAGCTGGAAAACCTGTGACTCTGCTGGGAAAGAAGATGGGGATGGGAAGGGCTGAAGGAAAGAAGACATGAGTGGGGGGCCTGAAGGGGAAACAGGGGATTCAGACTAGATATAAGGAAGCAATTTTTTACAATGAAGGTGGTGAAACACTGGAACATGTCGCCCAGAGAGGTGGCAGATGCCCCATCCCTGGAAACATTCAAGGTCAGGCTGGATGGGGGCTCTGAGCAACCTGACCTAGTTAAAGATGGCCCTGCTGACTGCTGGGGCATTGGACTAGATGACCTTTAAAGGTCCCTTCCAAACCAAATTATTCTGATTCTATGCTCTTCACCCCACACCACGGCGACCCCCAGCAGCCTGCACTTGGCCCTGCCTGTGCAGCCCCGCAGACATGTCTTTGCTGGACTCCCACCTCCTCGCCTGCTCAGGGTTGCTTTCCTGTCTGAACTTCCTCTGCCCCACTGCTCTTTTTCCTTCTCTATTTTACTTTCAACAAGGTATTTCTCTCCCGTACAGAATTTCAGGCACCTCATCCCCTCCCCTCCCTGCCTCCCTCATGCCCAGCACCTGCTGTCTGTGGTGTGGAGTGGATAGTGGGGGGCACCTCAGCACTTGTTTGGGGTAATGCTTCCCCCAGAAGAAGCACCCATGCCAGAGACCTGCACATGGTGCAGAGTATATGGAAGATGGAGGAGGGGAAAGGGCATTTTGTCCAGGTTTGGGGGTTCCCAGGCATCAGGAGCTCAAGAAGATCAAACCCTGACTGAGGCAGGAGAGTAGCCCAGCCCGGAGATCAATCCCGTGTTCCAACGTCTGCTTCTGCCCCCCCGGAAATGTGAGGTCTCACAGAGTTGTGGTGAAACGCTCTGTGTGATGGCAGCACCCAAAACACCCTCTTGCAGGTGCAGGTCCCCAACAAACAAAAGGCTGAAAGGGGCCCACAGCACCACATGGAGCTGAGACCCTCCTGGTCCCCACAGGCTCCCTGCAGGAGGAAGGCACCTTTGGGGGGACCCCAACACCCCAGGCCTGTCTGGGGACCCCTGGCCCCACTTCTTTTTGGGTGCCCAAGCCCCGGTGCTGGAACGAGTTGGGCATGAAGCCCCAAGCTAGAGGCAGGAACAGAGAGGGTGGGCAGGCATCTTTGGGTGCTGCACAGCGGGGGATGACCCTTTGATGCTGGGAATCATCCCCACCATGCAGGGTACAGTGGCCTGGCCATGACTCCCCTGAGGAACCTGTGGGGTCCTCTGACAGGGTGGTGAGAACAGTTGGGGTGAACCAGGGCTCCAACTTACCCTCTGGGTCTGCCCACATCCCAGGGAGGAGGAGGGGGAGAAAGAGGAGGAGGTGAGGGGGCTGCATGGTGCATACAGCAAGGCTGAAGTGGCAGCAGCAGTGACTGTGGAAGGAGGAAGTATCTGTGGGGTCCCATGCTTCAACCCATCCCAGCAGTCACAGCGGTGGCTCTCCGCCAATGGGACGAGTGCAGACATGTTGGGGTGGGCCCCAGAGGTCCCGAACTGGGGGCTGGGGACGTGTGGGAGGGAGGAAAGCCAAAATAAAGTCTTGAGCATGAAGTGTCGTGACAGGCTGGGGCTGGGGAGAAACCAGCCATTAGGAGAGTGCAGGGGAAGGGGGGCCCAGGAAATGGCACCAGCAGAAAATGGGTGCTCGAGGACCCAACCTCGGTCCCCCTGACTCCCTCTCCCCACTGATGGTACCTTACCCCCGTTCTTGTGGGATGCATCAGCTCTAAGGGAGGTGATGATGGCTTTTGGGTTTCAGCCCTGACTGGAGAAAGATGGCCACTATCCTCTCATCCCTGCATGGAGAGAAGGGCTGCTTTGGACCCCCACTCTGGCACCTCCAGCTCAGTCTCATCCTGCACCACCTGCCTATCCTGCACCACCTGCCTAACCGTGGGGACGGGACTCCCCAGGGAGGAGGTGACAAGCAGTTCCTGCCCTGCCTATGGCTGTGGGAACAGTGCTGGGACACTCCAACTCTCCTGTAAATTCCCCCTAGGAGAGGGCCTGGG